AAGCTGATGGGGCAAAAAAACGAGCAAAGAAACGTCTAACGCCGGTGGAATTCGCTAGCTAAAGAAGGCTGAAAAGGATTAAAAGAACAAAGCTTGTCCTCGTGTGCTTTTTACGTCGCGCAAACGGGTTGCGTACGATCGACGCGCGACCCAATCATTACCGCGAGCGTATTATATAAAAATCTTTCTCGTGAAGAGGAGATTATCGTTTCTCTCGTCGCGTTTTTCTCTACAATTCTGGCGATGATACGTGCTCGCTAAAAGTATCGCGATTAATTTCCCCAAATTATTATTAAAGTCTACCTCTATTATATATATATATATATATATATATATATATATATATATACCATTTATATATGTACGTGTATATGTTTACGCGTAGAGCCTCACAGAGCGGTCGTTTTGCGCTCGCACGAGCGAGCGAGCGCATCGGGTGACGTCGCGCACGAGACGAACGACGGCGCGCGGTTATAGCGAGCGAGGAAGAGGCGAGAGAGGAGAGAGAGAGCGAGGAAGGAACGAGGGCCTCGGGCGAGTTGTATAATATGAACGCGCCGCGCCGGAGTTTCGGCAGGCTATAATCAATTCTGATTGCAGTCCAGCGGATCGCAGCGCGATCCACTGGCCGATAGCCGAGAAAAAAGTCAGCGCTTCCAACTACCGGGCTGCCACGGTGGTATAGCCGAAGAAGCAAGGGAGGACGCGAAGGGACAGAGATAAAGTAAGGAATAAGGAGAGAGAGACGGCGCGCGAAAGAGACACGGAGCGGTATCGGAGAATAAAAAAGGGGGGAGAGGATAAAAGCGAGGGAGAAACCGAGAGGGGGACGAGGAAGAGGTACGGTGGGTGGTTGGAGGAGAGAAAATGCGGACGAGAAACGAGTTTTCGGCGCGAGTTTGGGGGTGCGAGTTCATCCGTGTTGCAATCGTCTATGAAATTCGTCTACGAGTCGAGCGGACGACGCCTGGAAAAATCGCGGGCGGATAAAAACGCGTACCGTCGAGTTATTTATCGACGGGTCCACGGCCCGATTCCGAGACGAGCATCACGACGCATCGACCAAAGGGATCCCAAACAGTCGTACTGATTGTCGTGGCTTTCTTTTACGTTCAAGCTCCATCTTTTTGCGCAATCCGCAGCTTTTATGCCGCGGATTACTTTGTACGTACAAAGAACTCGCGAGAGCAACGATATCGTACTCGAATTAAGTGCTCTAGAGAGTCTCGCATGCGTAAGGGTTCCGTAAGGGCAAAGACCTCGCGCTAAACTATGCATGCCTCTGGCCTCGGATCCAATCAGAGTTAGGGGCAACGTTGTTCAGTCGAGAAAGAAAGAGAGAGAAAAAGACAAGTTTGAGATATTTAAACTTCCGTACTGGGAAAAAGCTGTTAAAAATGAAAGATACCGTAACAGAAAATTATCGTTCGTCAAATTTCGTCGATGGCTTCTAATCGACGATATTAAGTACTTGTCGAAATTGTCCAACTTATGAAAAACGCTCGAGAGAAATGACGCTTGAAGAGACGGCGCTGTCGCTTTAGGGAAATAAAATTTCTGGCGGTGAGAGAGGAAAAAAGCCAGGAGTCCACATCGGTGGCGGATATGTAATGTGCGAGTAACTCCGGCAACAACCTTGACTCGCCGCAAGCCATACTCGCGCGCGCTTCTTATAATCCCTTGTGTTCGCGCGCGTCCGGCCCCATTAGTACTTGGCTGACCCATCATTCAATAACGCTCTCAATGTCTGTGCGACCGTGTCTCTCCGTGTCTTGGGACACACGCGTATGCGTGACACGGCGATAATTAGACCGAGTTTCCGCGCGGGAATAAATGCGGAAAGACGTCCTTCGCTTCCGTGACATTTTTTTAAGTACTTGTAACACGCGGCTTTTAAATTACTTTTTTAAATTACTTGTAATAGCTCGGAAGATTTGTCTCTCGATATCTACAATTAATAATAAAGTTAACGAGAGCATTGAGATTTTATAAGAGATCTCGAAAAGGTACTTTGTGTTATCTTGGCCGGCGAGCGAAATTTTGATACAAAGTTACGTCATGGAATAACAGTGTGCGAATGTCATGTATTCTAGGGGAGTCTGTCAATGTTAAGATGAGTGTCATTGAGATGTTGCGTATATACGATTTAATCCAAGTGTTATGTCTACGTATGAATAATGCGTGTCAGAATTATATGCATCGAGAGATTACGATATTAAATATTATGATTGAAAAGAAACATAACGTGCACATGCTAGCACATTTTATGATAATGGATTCTTTATTATTAAATCTTCTCAGATAACTTTTTTGATGAAGTCATAAGGCACGCACACTTTATTTGTATTAATTTTTATATAAATAATATTTTATATGCTATAAAGATAACATGTCACTGCATTACATATATCCCGTATCAGGCAGGCAGATAACGGATGCGCGTTTATTCAATTTCGAATTAATGAGCAACATTGACCGAGAGACGCTCGTTTTTTGTCGCGAAAAAAAGATTTGAAGCAAGTAAAGAGTTTCTAAAGAATCAATGCAAATACTACGCTCTTTCGTAACAAATGATTCGGAACGGCCGCTAACGTTCGACTCGACAGGCAAACGCTATTTCTTATTCATATCGAAACCAATCGGCGTCAAATGCTATACGAGTTTATGTTAAATTATCATCTTTGTGGTACTACCGACTACCGTTTTACCGGAATTCCTGGAACTGACGAACGCAAAATAAGAAGGCAATTTCCATAGACGAATCCTTTGAGAATCCATCGCGAGAAGCTAGAGCATTCTACGCTGTAACGAATAATTTTCATTCTAAATATGTACGCGTACATCTTTTCGACGTGTGTGTATATTCGTCCAGAAATATACAATTCGCCAAGATCAATTTCATAGCGCGTCATCGCGATAACACGCGACAGGTCGCGTGGTACGATGTGAATCACTCGTGACATAATCGGTCAATGAATCGTGCTGGAATAGTCACCTGACCATTAATTTCGCTGCTCGAGGATGAAATCAAATGACAGAGTTCAAAATCAAAACACGCTTTGAGAGATACGTCATTCTGCGCTCATCACCGCATTATGTATCAAGTGTCAGAATGAAATTAAGATCCAAAATCGCGAAAAGATTTTTCTTATACATGTCAGTGTGTGTGAAAAAAATTATGTTTCAACATTATAACATAAATATCTATCACATCTACATCTAATTATTATTTATAAATATATATTTATTTAAAGTAATTAAAAAAAGAGTTTATATTCCGAGATCTAAGGGAAAGACTAGTATTATAACATAAACGTATAAGAAAGGTATTTTGTCTGTATACATATAAATATATGAGAAATCGCGTAATTTTATTCAAGTACTGTATACATCACGGATTTCGGGGCATCTTTTACAAGCTTTCTTCGTTACTTTCTTCATTGACAGTTGTGATTATACGTTTGATAGATACAGAACGATAGACGTTCCTACTAGTTGCTCCGACATCGAAAGCACGACAGACAGGATAATTGATAGCGGAATGCTAATAACTCGTACGAGGCAGGCATTATAATAAGTTTTTTGCCCGGCGTGTGCCCTGCATCTACCGTATTCTCGCTCCCCTCGCGATATGTCACGAGTGTTCTTTCCGATGCTTATTAGCACGTAATTTGCTTACTTTAATACCGACTTTGTCGATAAAGATTAATCGACGCGACATTTCTTACTCGTATCATTTCTTCCTTAGTTAAAATGATACTTCCGTTTATCGATAAAAAATAAGTGTATGCATTTGTTGTAAAATTAATAGCTACGTATATTAACACTTTTGTACGTTGTACGGATTAAAGCTAATATTTTTTGCCCAAGATTAATTATCGTTATTTAATCGCTGTCAATATTCGAGATTGTAAGAGTATTAGATCTTTTATAAAAATATAAGACTGTATATTATATGTGTGATTAGCAGAAAAATACATTTTTAGTTAAATACAAGGAATAAATACGATCAAAGAATGAAATTTAGCTGAACGTATACGAACGCGAGTTTTGCGCGCGCATTTTCCCCGGATAGATTAGTAATTACATGTGTTATGGAGTGAAAAAATCTTAATACAATTTGCCAGGGTATTAAGCGCACGAAGAGTGTAATTACAAGATACTGTTCTTACGCGTTGCTTTCCTCCGAGTGATTATATATCGCGGCATGCGGGTATGGAGAGTGTTAATAATTGCGGTGGACGATGGAAAGCGTATGTATCCGTATTAAGAAGGAATGACATTACCGTATTTTGAAATGAGAGACTTCGATATCATTAATCTCGTCGCGTTAGATTGGCATTTTTAATTTTTATAGACGTGCATGTATCACATAAATTTTTACGTAAAGCAATTTTGTAAGATTTTCATCGACAAATTATCTTGCATCAAATTATTTAAATTTTGTAAATTATAATCACATGGAATAAAATATGCGTAAATTTGTAGACGTCTCAAGGAGGAGATATTAACAGAATACTCTACATATGTAGATTAAAAAAATATCTAGTACTTTTCCAAGTATTTGCTTAAAGTGGGTAAACATGGGAGTACTTGCCCAGCGAAGAAATATTTACTAGGCAAATATCTGAGGCTAAGACAAGCGACCTCTTCATTTGCCGGTGCATCTAGACAGTAGATGCAACGGCATCAGGCTTCTTGACTGTAATAAAGTTTTTGTCATACTTTTCAGTCTACGAAGGCTACTCTCGACTGCATCAAAGTGCAAATGCAATGTCACATATTTAAAGGAAATATAGATCGCTTCTTTTTTATCAAATTCATTGGAATTTGACTCGCGCAAAAAATTTGCAAATATATTTAAAAGTAGCGAAAAAAAAACTTGTCGTTATCGTGTAAATTTTAGCCTCATATACATTCCATACTGTTAAATTCACCGAGATGACAAAGATTAAGAAGACGAAGAGGGCAAGGGAGGCACTCTTTCCTTTGGTACTAACCTGGTAGGGAAATAGGGGAATCCTTGATGAACGTGCAAGTCCATGGGCATCGCGGGATGAGCGGGTCCGTGATGCGCCGCGGCGGGCACGTACTCGCCTCCCGCCGACATGGGGGGCTGCATCATACCCGCGGCGGCGGCCGCATGGTGACCCGCGAGCATGGCCCCCCAATGGAAACCAGGTGCGCCCGGCATCGCCGACGGATGCTCCAACTCGAGGGCACGGTGATTTCCGCCGGCACCACCGACGATACCACCCCCGGCTGCGCCTCCGGCACTTCCGCCTCCGCGGTGCATCCGCCACCCTTCCACCACGAATGTCGATGGTATCTCCGTCGTCTCGGTCGATCGCGCACTTTTTTCCCTCCCTCGCTCTCCTCGATATAATTCACTCAAACGTTACTACCCACTTGTACACTGCGTGCGTGCCGCGTGTCACCCTCGCACCCTCACCACCCTCGCCCGTACCCGGGACAGGCCGCCGGCGGCCTTTTCCCGTCGACGAACGGGAGGGCTCTTCGATTCGCCGCGGATCTCTCGACCGCCGCACCATCGACCACCGGTCCTTTAATCGCGCGTTACGCGGTACTGTCGTGCACGCTGCATGAGCACCATGCGGCGAGTCGCGGCGTGACAGCTGGTGACTTTGAGAACGCGACGATGACGGTGACAGCGGCGGTGACGGCGACGGTGACGGCGGCGGCGGCGCGACGGCGGATGCTGCGGGGGAGACAGGTGTCCGCGCCGTAGTAGCGTATCCTCTGGCGAGCCGCTGCAGCCGGACGGACCCGAACAGTGGCGCAGCCTTTAGCTCGGCCATGAATGACGCGCCGTATTCCGAGTTACTTGACGGAGGCGGAGCCTCGGCCTACTCGCGCCCACGTGACACCTCCCGCCTCCATTCCCTCTCCTCTCCGTACCCTCTTTCCTCCCCTCTCGTCACCCTACCGACGACCGCTTCACCCTCTCGCGACCACGTGCGCGCGCGCCTGAGTACGTTATCTCCTCTCTTTCGGAGAGGTTGTTGTTTCCTTCCTACATCCCTCTCCATCGAGATTCTCGCTCCGCGTTGCTATCACCGAGAGCAGTCCATGTTTTCTCACGTTTCCATCTAATCTGGATGATTTAAATATTCATAGGTGGCAGGTTAGCGAGTGATTAAGTTAGGTAGATAGATAAGTTGATCGGGGATTGCGTTAGCAAATTGCGTGTGCATATCATCTGTTTGGATTTTTTAGGCGAGATGTTTAGTGAAAACGAAAGTCGAGCTGGAGAAGGTGGGGGGACATGAGGGAAATTATTATCGAAAATTAATATCCGATTCTCTCTCACGTTACCTTCCTCACGCATGAGAGAAACGTTGACCACGCGCGGGATCGACGAAGCCGTAGAGACGCACGCTCGTTTTGGCGTAACACTTGTTGAGTCACTTCGCCCCCTCGCAGCCGACTAAACGCGTCCCTTAGTGGACGTTTCATAAACGACGGCGAGGGGGGTTTTCAAAGCGAACTTTACTATTCTCATTCGCACGATCGGTCGAAGACTTTATCTCGTCTTTATGGATCACTTCATTGTACTTTTGTGGAAAAATCACACTGACAAATTTTTATCCTGTCAAATAATAAAGAAATAATAATAAACATGTAATATAAGGGCAACACTTAATAATCATTTGATACATTGTCAGCGTAATAATTGATTACACAAAAGAATTTAATCCATTTTCTGTCGCCGTTTTTTTTAATTCTCAACCGACAAATTATGGCACGATAAATGTGTTACTTCTTTCTAGAGGTTCTCGAAATTATTACTTCTAATCAGGGATTCGCCGCGCGAATGGTAAATAAAAGCGACGCCTGTAACGTATACATTAAATCAACCGGAGTTACGTCAGCCCCTCGAGTTGTAACCGGTCTACTACCATAAAAAATTTAATCAAAATGCCCTCTTGGTAATTTACAGCTCGCCCAGCATCTCAACCCTTGCCAGCCAAGGTGACTCCAGCCGGAGGAGGAGAGGCTTGCTTAAGTAAGTCGGGTTGTAGTAAGGGCTCGGTGTGCAAGACGATAGAGAGAAAACAAACGAAAGTAAGAGAAGGGAAGGATAAACCCCGTAGGAGTCATAGAACGGCAGTACGATGCGGCCCATTTGCTCTTTTCCGTAAAAAATAATTCAGTCCTCGCTCGGTTTGTCGTTAGGGTTCGTGAAATGGTTAAAGCTACAACTCGAATTTGCCAATTAAACAATATTCGCATCAATATTGAGAATTATTGTTCGCGTAGAGCGCAATAATAATGTCCAAAATATTTCCTTTTATCAAAAATATAATCTTTTCTTATTTCTACGAAAAATTTGGTCTAAAAAATAACACAATTAATAATATTTTACAAAGTATATAACGCCATAATAATTTACATTATTTTCCACGACTTTACTTGGTATTATTTAAGACCGTCAATAAATCGAATATTCGCGCGCGACAATAATAATTTATTTACAACTTTGACTTTTTTTATTATTATTGCGAAGAGAAAACGAAGAGTGAACGTCGTCATGCCATTAAGTAGATTCTCTTAAGCAGAAAAATTGTTTCGCGCTGGCCTACCTGTGGGTACAGGTGTGAGTCGTAATAACATAGCGAGTGTGCCCTTTAACCCCTAATATCCCTACCTTCGCGCTGACTTCACTAAGGCCGCCGCAAACGGACGTAGGAACACGGCAATCATCGTACCTCTGTATCAATTGCAGGCGCATTATTATTGCGGATATACTTGGCGTTGCGTCGTATCATTGAACTTTCGGCAATACGCCGCAATATCGCAAATTGTTGTCAGGACTGGCGACATGTATTATTTTCGAACATTCGCGCAAAATGCGCCTCTTATTATATATAAATGCGTAATAACAGTTTCTCTCTCTTGCGTTTCTGCGTACGATTAAGGGTGTGGAATATAAGAAATAGACACGCATCTCTGAACAAAAATCCAAAATTTATTCGAAGTGTCTAACGTATGTAGTATATAATACTTGAAATCTTGAAATATATATTATCAGTAATGTGTCTTCGGATACTACTTGGCATAATACTTTACAATCGTACAGTGATTCGTTGATATCATAAATTGTAACAAAAGCATAATAGAAACCTGAAAGTAGGTGAGTGCTCCGCAGGATAGTGCACGGTAAGCTGAGCAAAACAATTTTATGATTATATCGAGATCTATATAAATGTAGCAGTTTATGCTGAAGTGAAAATGATTTTAATTTTCGATAATTGTAAAGTAACGCCACTTACGCGTTCCACTTTTGTGTGAATAACATTTGAGAATATCAACAATATTAAATAAAAATCTTTATAAAAGGAAAAAATAGAAAATATTATTTTCATATTGATAAAATTTTGTTAATGTTTAATAAAATCTTGAAAAGTAAAATTGTTAATTTTAATTGTTGGTCATTGAAAACAAATTAATACAATCCTTTAAAAAAAGAAATTAGTAAACTAATTATGAAATATTGAAACATTAATTATTATCTTATATAATAAATTTGTATTCATCGCTTCTATTTGAGCTTTAAACACGAGAAAGAGAGATATCTAAATACTATGTTAAATTCTCTTGTTTTTTCTATATACCCTGTTCTTTTAATTCTAGTTGAAAAGGTCATTAAAAATTATGTCTCACTCATGTCTCAAGTAGAAGCGCTGCTACACATATACATCTATTTTATTAAGTAGTATATTATCGCTAATATTATTGTTACTCTTAGCGGTTTTCAAGACCGTCGTTTAATCTCTTAGAGAAAACTCATGATATGCAACTACTAAAATTTTATCATGTATAATAATTTTAATTAATTTATAAAAATAGTTTCTAATAATTTCTCGTTGTCATTTTGATTAATGTGTAAAAGATTTTAAAATAAATTCAAATAAAAGATTAAAATATTTTAAAAATATATTATCATTAATTAACAGTATCACGGTGACCTCCGTAAGTTAAACGATGGTCGTCGAAAATACTGAATATCGTAATACATTGTTTTCGCACTTATCGAACTGAATTTTTTTTTATCTTTCTTTTTTTCATGGAGCATCGCAATAACTATATGCGGCTCCCTTTGATAATAATAAAAAAGGCACATGCAAATTACATCTAACATAACTCATATAATATAGATGAATATTGCGTATTCAATGATAAGCGTGATACGATCGTTACAATATTATCGAGTATTCCTTCAACCGCGTGCATGTAAAATAACATAGAATAGGTAATAATATAAGTAACGTTTTGATTTTTCAGGTACTTTATACATATTATTATGTTTTTCGCGTGTATACGGCAGATAAAATCTTGTCGCGTTCGCGATACGAAAAAATACGTTTGAAATATGTTCTTATCTAAACAGTTACAATCAAAACTGCTTTAATTTTAATGTTTTCTTGCGCTCTGTTTTGAAAAGAAATATTTTCTAATAATACTATTTAATTTTCTTTATAAATGTTTGCACAATGCGAAAGACACTGCAATAGCACTTTAAATAATACATATTGTAAAAGAAAAAAATGTGCGATATTCCATTACATTATAATACTACAGTCGTATAAATATTATGTAAGTCTTCATATTAAATCGCAATACTTTTAAAGTGCAAACCTATACGTAATTATCGAGTCTTATTTTTCTCAAATCGGAGTCTTTGTTTTTCTCGAGCAATTTCGTTGTGAAAACGGGAAACGACTGTATTGTTATATTAATATATCTTATAAAATCATTCGATGCCATTAAGCAGTCGTTAATCTCTTCTAACAAGCAACTAATAATCGTCCTTTCTTACGACGAATCTCTCATATATAAGTACGCATGTGTACTTTATTATTGAATAATTATAATTATCCAATAAATCCTTATACCCGATAGCGATTTTTTCGTATACACCAAGTTCCAAGTTGATTTTATTGCTAAAAGAGAAGAATTATTTTTTACGTGGACTACGTTTAAGTCTGAAAAAATAATCAGACGATCCCACATCAATCGAAAAGTCAGTTATGCTCTCACGCCGTTAAATTATTAATCAAGATTAATAATCAGGAAATAGCGGAACTAAGATATATTCCTGCAAATTAGGCCACAGGAACTACTATGCAGATTGCTGATGTCTAACTAGACTTTCGACTTTAGTGAAGAATGAAAGAAAAACTTTGTTTAATACAGTTTTGTTAGAACATCATAAAACTGTATTTGTGTTAAATTATGGTCTTGATAAAAATCAGCGTTCATTAAAGTGAAGACGATAATCAAGATAGAAAGACTATAATCGAAAGAAGGCTACATCTCCACTTTCATTACAATTAAAAAAATCATGATTTTCTCTTGTGAATTTACCTTACACGCGTCGACGATTGAAAACAAAAGCAACAGATATTTGAATCGACATATTTTCCTTTTCGCGTATTTAACTTCTCTCACACTTCGCGATTCATCTAACACTCGTTATTCGAGATAATCGCTGTTATTTGCGATTTATTGCGACACGACAGAAGAAATGTACGAAAGTACTGTTCTTATTTATTCTGCCAACTCCGTTTTTCTACGTCTCTCAAGGAAACGTTATACTTTGAAATAAAGTATGTAAAACTTCTGCTATATCATTGATGCGATGTTTATAGTGCATCGAGAGAATGTGAAAAACACACTTTATATAATATTGTGTGAATTTCTCGTCGAAGAGATATTGAATAATACAATATCTCTAGTTAATGCGACTCTCTATCAAATCAAGTCTAAGCATAATGACTGTGAATACCTCGATTTCACTGACAATCATGATAAAACTCTGCTCAAAGAATATTCGCAGCACATGGGTATTCATGTAAGAAAAGTTATTGGCGACCGCAATACCGTTCGTATAGATCGGTATGCTAGATTTTTCTTTTTGTCGACAATAACAACCCGCAAAGTATCTAGCTAGCAAAGTAATGGTGATTTGATATTTGGCAAGTGTATGCATGTATGTGTTTATAATTGTTTATAGGAAAAAAAATACAAGTTTGGAATATTATTTCTGTTATATCTCGATATTATTTAAAAAAAGTTTCAACTGCAATCAATATCAATTCACTATTACTTTACGTAGTTTTATTTTACATCGATCATTCGCTATCTCTATATAGTCCGCAAAATATCAAGATGGACTTACCGAAGGTAATCGCCTCTCTTACGAGGATCTTAAGATCTGCATAGGCATAGATCGGGATCGTTACATAATACGCTTACATAGTAAGCATCGTGCAAATTGTAAGCTTGCAATAAAATTGGCCATAAGGCATTTCTCGTTATTTTGCATCACGTATGTGTGTAAATTCAGAATGGTTATTTTCGGCATAGATATGTCTAAACCGAACCATTCGCTTTTACATTCCTCCTCTTAAAAAGACTTTACAAAATAGATCTCCACAAATTACATCCTCATACACATCATTTTATATCAAAAATTCTCTTTATATCTTTTGAACAATTTTTGTAAAAATTATTTCTCTTTTCGCGGAAAAATAACTTCTTTACCTCTTAGCACACAAATCGTTTCTCTTTAATCTATTTACATTAGACACCATTTTACTTATGATCCAAGTGCCTTCAAATATCAAAGACACACTCGTGAAAGAAAATCGATAATTTTTTTTTACAATTACGAACTTTTGCTAATCTTGCGTTACTAAATCATTCATAATCTTAACGAATATATATCTCTCTTGTAAAAAGCCCATATACGAGAATATGATTAAAGTATATAAAATATATCATTATCTAAAATTTTCGATCATGTCAAAACAAAATATGTGAACATATTATCTGATTATATGTATATGACATTAAATAAAATAATAGGCGAGAGATGCAAAATATCTCAGGAATGCTACAAACGCATGCAATAGATGTTAAACTGTACATACTATATGTACACGCATCCAAATTATTAATGTGCTAAGTCATATTTATTATTCACATGCACGAAATAGCCAGTCGAAATAGAAATCCTGTTGCTATATAATTAAATACAGCATTTTCATCTGAAATCAGTATTCATCAATTATCACGCACGTGTTCCAAGAGAAATTTGCATGCACAAGCTGTTTGCGGAGATTAATAGTATCTAATATAGCATTCTCTTTCAAGCATTAGATATCTCGTATAGTTCTTGTGATATGTATCGAATAAAAAAGATGTTAAAATTCGTTGTCACACAAACAGAAACCACTAGAAGCAGTAATACAGGGGAATGCTTGGAACAAATAGGAAGCTTAATCTGGAATCCAAGTATCATTCCCCAGTAAAATGTAAATGAACTTCCTTTTAAAACTGTCGAAGTCCATATACACTATCGATATTATCTTTTTTTCTTCAACAAGAAAATTAAACATCATCTCCTTCGAAGAATAATATATAATGAATAAAATATATATAATATATGATCTGTATATATATACATATATAAATAAATATTTATACTTCAACAATAATACAAGCTGCTGACTCGCGTAATTCAAAAAAATTGCATTTATATGTCATATCGTTCTTGTACAGACTAAAATTTTTTGAAACAGCATATCTGGATATGAATATTTTCATTTATAATGTTTGAGAGATTCGTAGCCACATTATCTTGGTGCAAATTTAATCAATTGCTTAAACGCGAAACAAATTAACATTTCTTCTATGTGTAAAAATAACATTGACTCGTACTCATATGAAATTTACTTTTCATTTTCCTATATTACGTAGTTTGATCGAATATTTTTAATAACCTGTATATGTTATATAACTTGTGGTCAGAAGTTATGATTTTTTTGTAAAAAATTTTTTGGTAAAAAATTTCAGATATATAATTGGAAAAGATAAAAGGCAGTGGAGTAATCAGTCATTGAGCATGCTGACAAATGCATCGTCTCTCAATGCATCGCTGATTCAGACATTTAAAATTAAAACAACCTAATAATATATCGATAGTGCTCGCGGAAAAAATCGCGAGCAACTTTACACCGCGGACTTAATCGCTCTAATTAACGATGCCGCGTGTGTATCGAAATGAATATTGCATTATCCATTTTCACCAAAAATTCATTGATTCTTGGCGTCGATATTTTTTTCGATTGCGCGTTTATTACGCGCGTATACCTGCCGTATATTTGCTCACACGGGCGGTGGTCCTTTTGGATTGCGGGACCAAGTCGGTAATAATAGCGTGGATAACGTAGATAACATAGTCTCGCAACAATTTGGCTTCAAGAAGTATTCGACACAGACAAGGACGACCTGCAGGCAGATAAGGACAAAACAGCAGCACTGTGAACACTTGCGGATTCGCCAGACCCAACTTCGAGAAATCGGCTCGTTGTCGGGATTGTCGCTGTTAGCGACATCAGCATTGCTCTTTGCGATCGGCACCAATTCCGTGTCGCTCTTGGATGAATCGGCATCATGATCGGATGCTTTCTTGCGCTTGCTAGAAAATAAGGAAATAAGAAAACAAATATTTGAATGATCGAAAGGATAACGATTTATACCTTTAATGCCGCAAAGTACGTGATAATGATACATTTATTATTATCTTGCTTTTATTTGAATTATTATTTTTGGATTATTTTAGATTATTAATTAATTATTTTATTATTTATACCATAACGTACTTTCCTACACTTTTATATATGTATATATTATAATAATTACATATAATATATTATAAATTTTTTTTTCATAACTTACTTGTCGCGCACGCGTGTATTTTCCTTTCATTAATTTTATCTTGCGATCCTATTATTATTGTAATAGTTCAAATTACTATTTTTATTTATCATTTTATTATTTCATTTATAGTATAAGGCATGTTTACGTGTTTTTATATATTATAACATATATATCATAACTTACTTGTTACCTTCCATTTTTGAAGTTTTCAATCTCGAATCGTAATTTTATTTAATACGTATGACACTTTGTTGTAAATCTTGTTTCGTTGAATAATATGTAATCTGGTAGTCAGACGTATAGTCGACTATTTTAGAGGAGAAACTTGAACGAGTTTGCTCGCAACTGCGAGAAATTAATTTATGCCGTCCCACGGGTCATGATAATACGAGTAAACCGGTAATAGCAAAGTTGGCCGGAAAATCAATTTGGAGATGCACGTAACTTGGAAGTTGCGAGATTGCGCTTGCAATTATATAGCTAGTGTTATCCTGTTTCTCCATTAAGATTATACATAAGTGCACGATTATTTAACTTTTCTGCAAATATTCGCTCCATCTGCGCTTTAATTTGCAGACGTAAGGCTCGAAACATTTCGTTGCCGTTAAAATCTGTTTACATTTTATGGTATGGAGGGAAATGAAAAAGAAGAAACAAAACGCGGTGGCAACCATCGATTGTGGAAAATGGCGCAAGGTTTTTATACCGTTTTTTTACGACTCGATGTGGCAGATGCTTCACGCCCGTGAAAACTAAACCTATTATCGCCACCACTGAGCGGTGATTGAACGTAGCTATAAAAACATCTTTAAAACAAAGTTAAATAAGATACGCTGTGGTGATAATTGGAATCTCAAGTAATTGAGTCGACAAACAACGGCATAAGATTGTATTATATGTAGAAGACAGACGAATGAGAAGACAGATAAAAAAAACTTCATGTTCTCTACTGATTGCACAGCGTGCAATACGTTATTTAATTTCTTTCGAATTCACTTTCGAATCATTCGAATAATAATTATTATCATTTTTTTAATCAACATTAACGGTAGCTATGAGATAACGTGTATTTTTCCAGTATAATAATATTGCAAAGTGTTTGGAGTCTGAAAAAATGCAAAAAATTACGCAGAAAAATGGCGCAGCTTATGAAGAGACCTGCAATTCACTTTATCGTCTAAATTTTCTTTTATGTTTTAAGACGTGCATAATCATAAGAGACGAGATGCACAGTCGTCTCTTGCCTGGCAAAGTTCTTATATTCAAATGAGTAGCCGCCTAATGCCTGGCGCTATGGACCAACGACCTCGCGCGTCCCCACATCTAAATAGTCGCCTTCATTCTTCACTTCCCATTTCGACGTTATGCAAATGGAATGCGAGCGAGAAGACGGCGTTTCTTAATCCCACGAACCAAGTCTCACTCTCAAATACTTCAATAATTTGGGCGATAATTTACTCGATTCGATTCGATTATCATCTCATTCAAACAAACGTCATTGTATATAGTACAATATTAATTATTTAATCTTTACAACAATATCATTTACGTTTCACGTGTAATCTTTGCATTCTCAGATAAGAGTAAAAAACCTTGAGACATGATATCGGATCATTATAAGAGAGATCTAAATATCTGACCGACATTTGTCAACGTTTAAAATTTAAGAGACAGTTGTTGCAAGGTAAACAAGTTCATTGTGGCTCGTCGTAAAGGAAAACAACCGAGCACTTTTCTTATAAAGGTCCAACATTGCGACGAGATGTGATAAAAATGAACGATAATGATCATACTCACTCCGCAGGATAATGAATCTGGTTGGTTGCCGTTCGTTTGATGGCACGCGCGTCCATACTAGCCGCCGCAGTGCGCACGATGAGTTCCCTGCACTGCCTTTGCAAATCGCGTAGCTCGTTCTCGGCGTCCTCGATCATCTTCCTCAATTCAATCAGGGTCTTATTGCCCGGTGCGAGTTGGGCTTCCAAACTACGCGTTATTCTGCGAAGATTCGCCAACCTGTGCTCGCGCTTGCTCAGCTCCTGCTCGCTTCCGCTTCCGTCGGAGATCCCGCTATCGGAGAGGGATCCGCCCTCCTGCGTAAGATTGCTCGCGGAAGTAGCGGTGAATTTTACGCAGTGCACCTCCTCTGTCGTCGTGTCATTCAGCACCGTGTCATTCTGAAACATGACAAGTACGGATAGTTAGCGGTTGTTGCTCGACAAATAAAAAATAGCGTGATACAATAAGAAAATATTATTCAATCTTTATTAATGGTAAACTTGATGCGATTAATATATTAAAAGTGCAGCTAACAATTAACGTAATATTTGGTGTCGATTATGAAAGTAGCTCAAAGAAGGAATCTTACAGACGGACTCTGCAATGAAACGACAACGTGCGACGAATCGCGAGATCTTGATAAGTGCGGGTATACCCGGGAGAGGACACGATATCGAATATTGTATAATCCACTCTTGCGCATCACCGGAGGGCATCGAAAAGCGTATAAGACGATTATATAGAGTACGGAAAGAGGAGAGAGAGGGAGAAGGTAAAAAAGACGAGGGCGTAAGGTGGAAAGGCGAGAATAACGTAGAAGCGTTAGATGCTAAATTGATCGCGATACGTCAACCAACGTTTCGGGAAGATTTGCATACGATTTTCGCGATAACCGCTGCGAACTTATGGATTCAGAGATCTGTTTGAATTTTTTATCGACATGATTCCTACTCTCTTTCATTCCCGCATATAAATGAATAAAGAATAAATTACTCTATATACTTTCGCGAGAAAAATATGTGTCTTGGATCAGATACGTTTGTACTATGAAAGAGCGACAGCATGGCGCGAATACTAGCGAGAATTCCAGTAGTAGCGGTCGAATAGTAGACAGACAGCCGAGAGAACGAGAGAAAGAGAGAGAGAGAGAGAGAGAGAGAGAGAGAGAGAGAGAGAGAGAGAGAGAGAGAGAGAGAGAGAGAGAGAGAGAGAGAGAGAGAGAGAGAGAGAGAGAGAGAGAGAGAGAGAGAGAGAGAGAGAGAGAGAGAGAGAGAGAGGAAGGGTGGCTGCGTGGAAGAAAGGGTAGGTTTAGGCTGTTTGCAACGGTGGAGAGACGGAGGGAACGAGCCTCCGGTAATGAAAAGCGCGATCCGCATACCAAGTAGCAACCTTCAACCTAACCTATATATAAGTCGGTATATTTCTCTCTCTCTCTCTTGTATAACAGATAGTAGGTACGAAGTGAGTCGAGACGGAATCCACGTCGGTCCGAAAGACCAATCACGCGCGAGAAAACTGCAAGGAACTTCTTATTTCCGGTTACATTCGCGAAACATACATATATGTACACATACATATATACACACCATACATGTGTTGCACAATAAAATATAAATACCTCGTATAGAGCCGCAAACATCGACTTATTTATCTGCTAACATCATTATCGTTATCGTCTTCATTAATGTTATTAATATCATTGGGCGTTTTTCAGCGAGTGACAGAGAAAACATTGTATCACTTCATCCTTGTTGGTTGCCGAATGTAAGGATGAAATGATCGTGATCATTGTGTTACACTGTGTCCTCTGCGTCGTTTGTTGAAAAACACCCATTATCATAACATTTATCTAAAATCTGACCTGATGGTCGACAACAAGAATGAAAAAATATGAAATATTTGCACGGATATATGTTGGAGCAATGGAAAAAATGCAAGAAAAATCTCATTCGAGAGGGAAAGTATTTTTCTTGAAATAGTATATATTATATATCTACTGTTGTACAGAGGATCGCGATTGATGAACTTGTTCGCGCAGCAAAAGAGAGTTTTTAGCGACACGGACTACAAGCGCAGATCGGACAACCTCTCATTCCACCCCCGCAACCAACGGGTGATATTAAATTTGTATTTTTACGCTGATTCCACGGGCCATTCCCGTACGTGACGCGAAAGGGAATCGTTCGGGCGATTAACGATCGGAGTTCCCTAGGGAGCTGCTGGCTCTGAGATGGCCAACACCCTCGACAGCAACTCGGACTCGCTATATCTCGGCGCCGAAACTTATCTCCTCCGCTTCCTACGTAGCATCGGCTAATATTTTATTTACTATTTATCAAAACTTATGGTTTTTTTGGCGGCTTGTAAACTGTCGGCCCGGACTCGTCACGCGCCTCTATTAGCTGCGGTAATTTGAGGTAATGCAAAAATATATGCGCACAAATTTCTATAAAATATGTTTAAAATTTAATTTTATAATTTTATAAGTTTAATTTCATAATTTTTGTAATTTATCATCGCGCCGCTGTCTCGCGGATAAAAGCGCAAGGAAATAAAGAATTGTAACGTTACAAGAAAAAGAAAGACTGTAATGTCGAGCGCTTTATCGTAGTCTTCCCTCTTCTTCGGATCTCAGAAGCAGGGATGCTTGGAGAGAGAGGGGGGGAGGAAAGGGGGAAGAGGGATAGGTGAAGTCGAGACGACTGTCGTAAGACAAAGATGGAAAAAGAGTGGGACAAAGAGAGAAAGAAAAAAGGAGAAGCGTAATGTCAAGTGCATGAAATTATTCCCTCGAGTGCTGTAGATCGGCAAGACTAAGAACTTTCCGGATTATACCGCCTTGACGGGAGTTTGAATACGTTAAAATATAGACGCGATACACATGGAAAGGAGAAGAAACGAGACGAAAGGAAAGGCTCCTTATTGGTGAGAGAGCATTGTGTCGCGAGTCGTACGTCTTCTTGACAGGCGAAATGAGCATGGGGACAATTGGAAATTGTTATGAAGCACCTACAACCGATACGTCGGCGTCGAGAGTCGGATACAAGCTGTCAAAAGTATCCTCGGCGTATAGACAAAACAATATTATATTACACGTAATATCTTACACCAATAATTGAATACTATTGTCCACGTCATCGTTGTATAATAAATTACTAATTAAAATTCTCGTAATATTGATAATGTTACATACTTAATTATAAACATTCGGACGGTGCATATAATGACGACATTCGATATTACGCGAATAGCTTCTGTTAGATCTCCGAGGAACCGAGCAGTATGTCTTCCCGACAAGGTAAACGATCGAGCCGATCGAAAATCGTGGTCGCGAACCTATCACCTCTCGCTGCACCTTCAACTATTCTCCTTTACGTCCATAAAGCAAAGAACCCAACGTAAAACGGGCTTGCCGAGAGATTTACTTTATATGCAAATTAAAGACGGATATGGTGGGAATAGGGGGATGTGATGGCGTTTAACGGAGACGCGATATCGACAAGTATCATCTGTCAAACGTACCCTTCCGACCTGGCCCTCTTCTTTTCCTCCTTCGAGCAACTTTGAGCGTGTTCAGGCTAGTTGAAGATTTATCTTTTGACGCGCGCCATATGTGTATATACTCTCGTGTATGTGTAATATTTACTTTCTGAATGATTTTAACACAAAGACAACTCTGGACAAATATACTCTTATTATCTTCGAACGAGAAAACAAGAGATTTGCATGAGACTTTTTTTAAAGCATTATCGGAATAATAAATTGGATAGCACGATATGATTCGAGTAAGATATGATTACATTGCTTAATAGCACATGTGCTAATCGAAAAAAGGAGAAGGTCGATACGGTATCTCCGGCAAATCTATACCGCGCAATCCGAGGAACGCAATTTGCGAAGCGATTTAGCGTGACGTATCGGAAATACGGGATATACAATCCGCATTATAATCTTGCTTTCCTTTAGGTAAGTTACATCCCCGGGACCCGCGATTCTCCCAATCTATGCGGGGAAATGGTTTTATGCACACAAGTGATACCTTTGGGAACCGTTACCCCATCCACCCTGCCTTGAATAATTGCTAACAGCCATCTAACCGATTGAAAATCAAGAACGCGATGGGGATATCTGACAAACGATTCGGAAAAGATTCTGTAATTTGTTAACTTTAATCTTATTAAAAAATATCGTATAAGCTATTTAAGGTATTCGATAAAAAGAACGCGCACCAATTTAAAGGCGGGATATAAATCAAATTGTTGCAACTTTGAAAGATTCTTGTAACTTGAAATACTATATTGTAAACGAAATTCTACTATTATTGTTCAATCAAATGGTCGATTAAAGGAGATTAGATTTTTCATTGCAGGAATAATACCTGACAATTGATGTCTTGTCTCTCGGACAGAAGTCGAGCGAAGTGACTGACGGAGGAAGCGATTCTTGGAGTGGCTCCCGCTTGCAAGGCTACCTCCAAAACCGCCAAAGATTCTTTGTCCCTCTGCAGAGCGGATTGGAGTTCGGCCAAGCATGTACCGAACTGTTGTACGTCTTGCAAGGCGCGCAACTGCTGATTACATCTGAAAAAAGGCGGAGGTGCACATTTATAAACTGCGTTGCATTGCAAAAGCTATTATAATGATTATGCAAATTTCTTTGTGTGTGCGTCAGAGAGAGATATATAAAATATCAATTTAATATGCACAATATAATATTTTAGAAAATATTAATACTTTGAAAAAGAGAGAGAAAAAAATCTCTTTCTTTTTATTTCGTTTATTTCATATGAATTATTCATTTCTTCTCGAAAGGGTGAATAAAGAACGCGAAGCAAATTTGTGCAGAAAAATCATGCAAGTCAATACAATAAAAAACGAAAGAGGGTAAAGCCGTTGCGTAAACATTAAGACGTCAAATTATTAGTAGGCCCTCCCTCCGGCACTATCGGCAAATAAAAACACTTTATTTCAGGTCAATCTGAACGTCCCTAGCGAATGCAGGAATGAATCGAGGAAGGCTGGTTGTGCCTCTTTTCCGCATTGGCGTATCCGTCAGAAAGGCGAAAAGTCGATACGTTTATTAGATACAGATATTTTTATATCGACCAAGATTTTATAGCATTTTCTTCCTTTACGAATAGATCGCCTTCATTAATTATGAATGGTTCGAAAGGATCGATAACTATTCTTTGAGAAATCATCTCCAGCCACAGAAATAAAAGTGTCTCTCTATACCAAATGTAGAGATAGGATTGACCTCTGCAAACCCCAATGGGTCAGTGGTAAACCCCTTTGAATGGCCTAAACCCCTATCAAAGAGGGGATTCGAGTGCTCATATGGAAATTAAAAGGGGATTGTAATGATTGCGCTAACTATTCTTTGCTCGTTGGAAGTATCGTTGCAAAAATATAGTTTGTATTATTTTCCAAGACAATTAATAATTGGTATGACTAAATAATCGTATAGATTGTTATGAAATTTGTTATAATTAAATTAATTTCGATAATAAGTATTTTAATGTAAAAACCACTAATTTAAACACAATTTAAAATTACTTATATTCTGAAAAATTAAAATTAAAATTAATTATTTAATATAGATTAAAATAGGAATTTATAATTTAAAAAAAGTAATTTATAAAGAAAAAAAGATGTATACTTTATATATTTTATATATTTCATACTGATGAAAATATCAATAAGATTGAAGCAAAAAAAAAATATTGCAAAAAATCGAATATTGCATTGACCCTTTGAATTTCGATCCGTTTGCCTTTCTGTCGGAGCCATCACGTAGAAAAGGTCCGTGATTAAACGCGATCTCCGTTAAAGCTAGTAATCCTGCGACACGGGTCAAAATCCCAACGAGAAGAGCCCTTACTGGCGGTACCAATGCCGCTCTCGGTTTCCGCTGTTTGCTTTGGTGGCTTCATTACCTCTCAAAATATTTGCCTAACGTCACACGTCGGCCGGCAAACGGCTAGCCGATGATCCAGTACCAACTATTCTACAGGAGATATACCGTTGAACCCCGCAATCGAGATACTCCAAATTAATCAAGGAAACTATTTCTCGTATTAATGTAGCGTGATTTCCCCAAGATCTATACTTCATCATGTATTAACAGGTTTTATTCACGGAAGTAAATTTCTAATTTGTAACTGACGATTTGTACGTTTATAAAAAAACAATTAAAACAAAGCGATATAAACTTTATATTTTTTATTTACATATACAAGTTCTTTCGTTTTACTCCCAAAGATTGATTAAAAAAACAAGTAATGTGTAACATGCGAAAACGATTACTCACTTTTGTAAAGTCTCGTCATATATCCTATAAAGATCTGCCACGCCGTCCTTGAGGGCTGTGCAGATTAAGGGTGCGGAGGCACCGAGATCGGTAATCAGTCGATGCGCGGAGACATTCAACGCGAGCATCGCAGTCTTGTGGTCATTCAGAACAGCTATGTCGGCCTGCGAACATAAAATATACATTTTTAGTAGCTGGCTGGCTCGCCTAACTCAAACGAATTACCCGCGTGGTGCAAGGGCAAACGCGCAGGGGTCGCTCGAGGGTGAAGTTGATGTATAAAGTGGCCACGGACTAAGCACTCCTGTTAAGAATAGATACACGTGGTATCTAAGTGAGATATTTTTTTATGTATTGAACTTATACGTATATCAATCGATAACATTTCGTTCACTTATTCTCATGTCTCCTATCTAAATTGATTTTTAATATGAAAATGTATAGGAGTCAACATTTCGTGCTTGATAGGCGCAGGATCGACGAAGATGTAGCACGTGAATATAGCAAACGTTCGGTAGTCTTCTGGTGGAAGAGAAGGAAATTACTTTTAAAGAACGGAAGAGACGAGGCAGAGGATATAAGACGCGCGAGATGACCGCAAGGACGAGCTTTACGAGTTTCCCTGAGGTCTCCTCCTCGTCACGCGATGAGCGAGAGAAATGGAACGGGAAGAGAAGAGAAACGCGCGGGGCTCTCGTTTTCGTTCTCTTACGTCGCCCTACGTCGCCGTCGTAAACCTGGGTTTATTTATGCGATCCTCGTCCCGCGGTAGGACGACGGGGATGTGACAACGTGACGTGGTTACTGCATAGTACGCGTGTTTCTACAACCCTTATATTTAGCTATGCGCCGTCGCTGATAAATACTCGTTTGCAACATTTTAAACGGCAGCTCCAATACTGGACAGGACTCAACTGGAGTGCATTATCTTTTTTCTGAAAAATTTTAAATTTTAAATTATAAATTTTTTTTTTATTTTATTAAAATATACGACGTTTCCTCATCCCCGTCATCATAAGCAGCTGGCAGTTAGCCGTCTGGTTTTGTTTGTGTCGTCAAGCGGGGCAAATCGCGCGATGAAAAGGAGAGTAGTCCCCAACGCGGGTGGTTTTGCGAAGTGCGCGGCGTGGATTTGCTCGCTGTCCGGCGAAAAGTGGTTGTCATTGATATTCCAAACGCATAGCAAAGGCAGAAGCGACCGCGCCGCTTTTCCCCTCTTTTCGTAACCGCCCTGCTGCTGCTACGCTTCTCCTCGTCGCCGCCGCCATCAGCATCAACGACGCATAACCAGCAGCAGCCACCACCATTCTACCCTTGCTCGTCCGCCGAGGCCCTCGCAACGCAGACACGCACATTCCGATCTAATTCAATTTCCAATCAACAGCCAATCAATTGATTCGAATTCGGTATACAGAGCGGTCGCTCTGCGCGTTCGGGACCTGCATGCCTATGAGGCCGCTCCCCCGTCCCGGTCATATCGCCGAGCACGTACCCCGTAAAAGTAGAGAATTAGCTTTTTACTTCTCGTAATTTTACGATACTAAGTGGAACGGAGATCCACTGCCAGTATTTTAATTGTGCCATGCGTAATCCCCTCGTAGTATCGCGCTCCGCAAATTTTCTTTCGCTATGATACGTAAGGATTCTTTGCAAAAATAATGCCAGAGGGGAGGTGGAGAGAGAGAGAGAGAGAGATGATCAATTAAAAAAAATTTTCAAATTTTCTATCGCAATAAAAACATTAAATTTTGCTATGATAAAGCGATGTCATAAATATAATAATAATTTTTAATTTAATTCGAGAAATTGCATTACTTGCAATTTATTTTAATGTTAATTTCATCGATTCTTCATATCTGAAACTGGCAAAATTATCGCGTAAAGTTAATTTACGCGAATAAAGCGCAAAGCTCCATCGACGAGCGTAACGGTAAATGTTTGTCCGGATATGACGCAATAGCATAATCAGCAGGTGACGAGCCTTGATCGAATCGCGTCGAATGTACGTGCCACGGAAAGCACACGTACAGTCTCAATAGTGTGCCGCTTAGCGATGCATAATACATAACGAAACGTTCAATCCTGTCTCGCGCGCGTCAATCTGTATTCGCTCGCGCAGTTGCGCTTTTCGGTGTCGCGCGACCTGCATTCCAATCGCCAAACCCTACACGTGCGTCGCAGCGGACAATCATCCACGATATGTAATCAGCTTGTTGACGGCCTCCTCCCGTGCGAGCACGCACGCACGGCTACATTGACGCTCGTGTGTGTATTTCGTGGGCGAATCGCGTAATATTAATGTATTCTACGAGACACGACTCTTTGGCTAGAAATTGTCTGTAGGATCAAGCTATAGTTTCCGCAAACGAGTACGCGAGTCTTATGACCGCGTCGAAGAAACTGTCGTGCTATCGGAGACTTTGACGACCTTAAGCACGAGACCGTAAACGAGACATGTAAAACAAGAACGCGGCTTTCGTTCGGGTCCGGCGCGGATCGGCGCGAGCTACACACATACATCTCGTGCATAATGTAGCAGAGCGACGAGTTCACCCGGCAAATGTTGGACGCTAATACATCTTGATGATAGATAGGGAGCATGTGTTTGGTCTTCGCAATGAGGCTGGAGAGGGTGTGGAGGATATTGCGGGGGTGCGGCGGGGAGAGGGGAGACCGCTTCCACGGAGGGCTTCCACGGTAGGGCTGGTAGATGTGCCGGGAGGATCGGGGGATGACTTTCGGAGGGAGTGGAACTCCACCGAGGGGGTTGGCTAGGTTCGCCGGCGTTCGCTCTTGGCGCGAGTTGCGATTCCGAGCACGTCGCCGTCAGACGAGCGTACGTGCGACACGACTACGCTTTTACGCCACTACCTCTGCCTCCTCTACTTGGTTCCTGACTGCTCTCTCCCGCTCTCTTTTCTCTATCTCTCCGTCTCCACCATCGCCTCCTCCGCTCATCCCTCAGTCCGCCACCCTCGCCCGCTTTCATTTTGTTCCTCCTCCCCGATCGCGAGCTTTCTGCCTGTAAGCTTCTGACTTTTCTGTCTTACCCGCCGCGTACGGGAGACATTTCCAATAACGCGCTCCCTTATTCCGATTCGATTTCCGAAGAACTTGCAGAAATTCGTTAGTAAGCCACGTGCGTTCGAAACTGAAATATTTTTTTCCAGATCATCAATTACTCAAATATCATTTTTGTTAGGATCATCAACTCAAATATGTCTAATAATATCATCATACATCAAGATCCACTAATACATATTTTAGGGTTGAATGTCAGTAAAGAATTTTTAATACAATGATATATTGTTAGCAATGTATATATAAATTATCTTTTAACATTTTTCATCTAATAAAGGAATGTTTTTATTCAATCAATATTAAATCAATATCAATTAATGTATTATTTTAAATAATTGTGTCATTTAAATAAATATTAAATAAAAAATGATAAAGAATGTTAAAAAATGAGAAAGATTGAGAAGAGATTAATAGGATCTTTGCTCGTCAATATCAATCGAATCGGAATAGAAGATTTCTCCCACAGCAGAAGAGGATACTCTACTGGTATATTTACCGACAGTGCATGTACTGTATCGTACAGTATGCTTACTGTTGGTAAGAACTATCTCAATATTATCATCAAAAATAAAATTGCATCTAAAACAAAACGTAAACATATGTATCTAGATGTTATTTACAATTCAATAACATCCAACTATAAATTATAAATGACCTTTTTCTTAGCAATCACTCTCAAACCAACATACATATATGCGTAAAATAAAATATATATAACGTTAAAAGATCAACTTACAACGATTCTATTAATACGATCATCGAGCAAATGCGGCTCCAGGACGACTTCATAATCAAAAAGTCGATCGTGTATGGCTTTGAATCTTGTTCGCATGGCAGCCAGCGAACGATGAAGAGAACCGGCCATTTGCGCCTGCTCGACTCGCGATGCCAAAGTCTCCCATTTCTCAATCATACCTAAGCAAAATTGCAATATAATTTAGTATAACATTAATAACATAATATTTTTTAAAATAGATAACAATGCCTTACATTATATTATATATTATTATATTAATTACATTATATCAATTTTTTTTACAATTTTTATTTATTCAGATAGTCAAGCAGATGTTTTGAATATTAAAAATATTTTATTTAAATGTCAGTTATTTATAGAAAATTACTAAAAATTCAATTATCTTTTTTCTTTTCAAAATGATTTAAAAGAAATACATATATATATATATATATATATATATATATATATATATATAGTTTTTAGTGTGTAAAATATAATGCTATCATTACTTAATGTCAATATTAATTTAATATTATATTAATTTAGCATGCGAAGCTTTATATTTCCTCATATCATGAAAAATGGCGATAAGTTAACATTCCTGACGCTTAATGCGCGCATTCGTGCGATTAACTGTTTTCTTTTCTTCTTTCTTTAGTAAATTCCCAGGAAGCAGGTGAAAGGAAGGAAGCTGGCAATTATTATCCTATATGTTTTTTCGTTTCTGAACTTCTTGAGCTATACTGTTATTCCTAATAACGGTGTTTTCTGTAACGATTTATAGGCTTCACATCGACCGGTTATGTAAAACGATTGTGGACAAAAAAAAATCTCAAAGGTCAAGAGGCTTTATATCTGTACCGACTTTCGTGACCTCTTTTCTGTTCTTCGCTTTCTTTATAGGGACCACTTTTTTCAGACTAAAACTGCATGTTCACATGTGCAAGTGATATAAATATAGTCGATGAAAAGCAAACAGCGATTGAATGAACATTGTTAATAATCTCTCCAGATATATCGTTTGTGCATCTGAGAAAAAAAACGCATACGGAAATGTTAGAGGAAAAATTCGACATGTATAGAAAGTATCACATGTGTTTTGACCTACAGGATATGACGAAGCGTACAGAGCACAGCATGAATGTAATAGCGCATCTAGTAAAACTCACATGTGATGTATACGAGATACATATATGTACCGTGCGATCGTATGCTTCGTCGCATATGATCGCCAGAGCGTAAATTGGCATCGAGTGCAGTCCGCCCATGCGTTTTTAAACGACGCAACCCACGACGCCCCTTTTACGGAAACGACATATGCTTGTGAATTAACGGCAAATTCAAAACGTACAATGAATACAATAAACAATTATTATCCACAAGACGCAAAGTGAAAAAGTTTCAAGTTTCGCGTTAAACGCAATCATCTTAAACGCGATATAGATATAAATTTTATTCCAGCTTCGTGTTTTTAGAAATGTTTGGCATAGATAAGGACGATAACTTTCCCGAAACTAATCGCAATTTCGTTCCGGAAAAGTGGAGCGACAATTACGGGCATGATTGTCGAGAACCACTGCGCAGTCGTGACGTTGGAGACAACGATATCACGAGAGAAAGGATGATTGATGGATTTGGCAAGTAACGGATTTGGCGTTACACGGGCATTTATATCATTGTTCCCAACAATGCAAAGTTCCGAGGAGATAAACGGTTAATATAACTGTTGACCTAATATATTTGTAACATTTCAATCGTACAAATAACGTTTTAAATTCAAAAATATGAGAAAGACAAGGGGAAGGAGAGGAACGCAAAATTTGAAATTCGCGCCGTTTTTTAAGATTTCGATTCTTATATCATCTCAACTTTCTAATTTTCTTCTTTAATTTTTTCACATATATATTTCCGTTGTTTTTGAATACGAGTCATTTGTAATTTCAGCATTTATGGTCAATGATATAAATTCTTCAATGTCATAACAAGATAATCAAAAAAAAATTTTCGTACGAAAGTCACTCAAAACTTAGGTTTAGAAATCGTTCGTTTCTTCCTTTCCTTTTACACAAACATGGCGGCAATTATACTAACAAAAAAAAAAGAAACTTAAATACGTCGCTCAGGAGGAACGTTCACCATAAGTGATATGACAGTAATATGATGCAAGAGACATACTTTAAATACCGATTAAGTAAGAATTATTGTTCGTGATTAACGCGATTAATATAAAACCGACTTCCGCGAGCGCACATTAATAATGTAACAATCGTGACGAAAGCAGCAGATACGTACGTAAGTCGCTTGAGGCTATTTTCTCCCTTTGCGCGAGCATTGCAGCGAGGAGTGTTGCCGGAGCGAAAAAGTAACGTCGAGGTAACGAGCTCTCTCGGATACGTCGATAGTTCGGAACGCGACGTGGTACCTCTTTTTTCGGGAATCGCGACGCGAGTTAGATAACACACTGGGACCAGCGGACACACGGTGACACGTCCGAGCCGATCAGAGTGCGTCGAAACACTGCAACATTCGCGAGCCGCGAACACTGCGATCCCACGTGATACCTGAAGTTAACCGCGATATACGCGAGCGAATGAACGGCGAGATGCGCTCGCGAACCGGTAGCGCGGGACCGACGTTTTTCTACACTATCTAGCATAGGGGAGAGAGTCGTTAGTTTATATAAGGCGAGAAAGAACGATCGCGAGAATGCCTGTCCACCTACGCGCACCTTGACACCCGCGTACGCATGCTGTCGGAAACTTAATTAGATTTACGATCGAAATAAATTTGTCATTAATCTCTTCGAATTAACACTGGCCATTAAAGCTCCGACAGATAATCGAAAGTTTTTAGTGAATGAGTTACTATGAACGACGATCTGTCTATAATAGGCAATACTACGAGGCAATTTATTTATAAGGCGAATGTGACGTTGAAAGTAAAGATATTTTCTACTTTCTCTTATCTCCGGATATCCTTACATTCGAACTACGTTGATTAGAAAGTATATAGTGTCGTTTCTTTTTAGTGTAATTAAAGTTCAATCTAAGTTTTTCTTTATAAAAGCGCGTTACACAATCTATTTTATTTATGATAAATATTTTGCATCAGTTTTATTAATAGATAATATTGTATAAACACGCATTTTTATAAAAGGATAATATTTAATTCTTATAGGTACCTCATTGTCTCGCACATTTTTTAATGCAATTTTTTCAGCTTTCTATTTTATGATTTTGATAATACTTCTTTCACTTTTGTTTAAAACAAGTATATGTAAATCTGCAAAATTATTAAAATTCCGAAAATACCGTATTTATTGTTATATATAATAATAATTACAATCGTTGCACAAAGCGCATTAAAATAATATAGAAGATATTACACATGCTATTATTTTGTAATACATGCTAATAAACAAATTTATTTAAAGATATTTGTTACATAAATGATAAAAGAAATATTTGTGGTAAAATATAAAATAAATATTGTATATAAAATAATATTAAATATTAAAAAATTCTCATGTTTTTTTTTCAAGTTTTCTTTCCTTTAAATCTTTTCTAATTAAATATTTAAATCAAATAGATCACGAACAATAAAATGATTGAATTGGAGTGACGGTTTCGCAAATGACAATAGATTACGGATAATCAGCGCAAAAAATACAGTTATTTTTTCAGATTTTTCAGATGTAGATAAAAACAAAATTATAAAATTTTTACACAATAAAATTGCGCACACTTAAATTTTCATTATCTGTCTATTCGAAAACATAAAAACAATTATGTAAGATAAAAAACAGATATGATGAAATAATGCGATCGTATGTTTCACACTTTTTTGTAGAAAAAAATAGCTTTTTTATTGTATATATATATTAACATGCAATAATATAAAAATTGCAGAAGATAATTTTCATCGCAATTTTTTCTATCAGAAAAAATAAGCAACAGAGCAAGTCTTAGGCCAAAATAACAAGTACAAAGCAATGATTATACAGAGAAATAGTATAAAATTAATTAACTGATCGTACTCACCGCGAATTTGTTTCGAATATTTTTCATTTCGCAAATATCCGTTCTGCGAGTCCAATACAGTTTTCAAGCACCCTAAGTTTTCTTTACATGAAGACTCCACTTCGGCCTATTAGAGATAGAAAGGTAAATACGATTAGCTACATTGTCTGAATTGTCATAACATATCATGACAAGTTGAACATAAAATAATGCAATAATTAACGAAATAATTTTTATTAATAAATTTATTACATTATTTTATTATTGTAGCTAGTATATTATTGTAGCTAGTATATTAATAAAAAAATAACGCGTTTTGGCCTCTTACTACAATTAGATGATCACGACTATTTATTCGAAAAAATAATGTATTAATTATATGATACCAAATAAAATCTTTATAATAAAAGAAAAAGAGAAGATAATAAAAAATAATGAAGAAATAGTTTTGACAATTTTTAGGAGAAAGATAATTATTATTATAACCCCAATTTTTTTTTAAAGATAAAGCATCGATAAAAATGCAAATCTTAATATATAAATTAAAGAATTCAAATATATAGATATACACATAAATCTTATTTATCAGAAAAACACAAGATTTTCTGTTTCAATATAATTGATAAAAACGAAGAACAAAAAAATAGTTTGAAGTCTAATTCAACAGCATATGATACACGTTATTAATAATATAGGAATTATAATAGAGGAAATAAACTTAAATTATGTTTTATATTAAATTATGTTTATATATATATTCACATATATGCATAATAATAGTTATGATACAACCAACTTAATAATTACTACTGATATGACGAAATAAAATAACGAATAAAATGAGTAAGAGATAAAGCAAAAATCGTATTCCAAAACCATCTATAACTTGGTCCAGAGGGACACTCTATTGCAAACATTAGTAACAAAATACGTACGAATTCTGCAGGAATCACGCCATTGGATCTTACAAAAGCATTTTCAGCAAGTATAAGCTGTGATTGTGAATTCTCTACAACTTTTCGTAAATCTTCTTCATCACTATCACTTTCTTCCGTACTATCGCCAATTTCCTAAAACACGATTAGAGTTTGCGTGAGTATTGTTGATTACATAATGTACATGCTGTTTCCTCTTTCTCTCGTAAAATAATCATAAAATATTATAATATAGATACAATATATACTGTACAAATGTACAAATTTTAATATATCGACGTCATGCAAATATTTTATTTCTCTTTCTTTTTTTCTAATGTCAATTCTTGATTATTTATCGATATAATATTTCTATTGTCATTATGTCTCTTCATTTTTAAGATTTACATTTAACAATGTTATAATCAGGTATTATTATGACTAGCAACTTTGTGAGAGGAATCGATTAATGTGTCATAAAGTTAATATACTAGTATTATTACAATATAATCTTATATCATATTACATCATAATTAGATGATACACCTCAAAATTTGCACGCAATTAGTAATCATGAAAAAAATAAAACACTTCGGTATTGCTTGAAAAGTTTATTTGTCGTGACTAATTCGTGACTAATCTAAGCAATAATGATTTAAAATATTTTATATTTCTATTAATAAACATAATAGAAAATGGCACAATATTCGAATATCGTATGAGTACATAAAAATTATTAATGTATTATTATTTAATTATTTATGTAATTTTTTTCTTTGCAACATTAATCTTTTTATAGAAGGAATATGGATATTTGATCGAGAAAGAATAATAGGGGACCTACATGATACGTGCGAATCTTAGGCAATGGCGAACTAGCAGGAATTGCGCTTATACTGGATGCGCATTCTGACTGACTATCGAGGAAATTTCGATAGTCATCTCCAAAATCTAATAATCGTCGAGCCATCTCTACATCTAATGGTTCGCTGTAAGCTTCACTCATATACTTCTCCTGTGAATCAACAAATTTATAAATATAAAAAAACGCTTTATAAACATTTGTTAAAAATGTTATGCAATTTTTTGTATCACCTGGTAATTATCCCAAGCCTGTTCGTATAACGAATTGTTACCAAGACTGTTCATCTCTACATCACTATCTACATTTAACTGCTGACTTGTTAGTTCTTTGCTATTCACCGCGTTATTCAACATATTATTATCGTAAGCGAGATGTCCTTGAGCACAATTATGATCTTCGCCTTCAATCTCTGATGTAGAAGTAATTGACTTGCAACAAAGTAGTCTGAGCGGCGTAGAAGTATTAGCAAGCGCCTTTTCTGCGTGTAATTGTTGATAGACGGTACAGCCCGAGAAAGATCCGGATTTGACGAGATTCGTCGAACGACTATGGCAGTTTTCCTTCGGAACTGTATACATTGTGCGATTTAGATTCATTTTACGAGACAAGCGTTGTTGGTTGGAGCTGCCATCACTACCCGCTGAATGATGATTGGCATGCACGCTTTCCGAACTAGATTCGCTCTTACGACCCTAATTGGATGAGTTAATTTATTATATATTTGACATGAATTTAATCTTTAAAATATTTCTATAAAAACAAATCTATTAAAATAACTAAAAGAAAAGGACACGTTTAACGAACGTGATTTGATAAATAAATATATAGTAATATAACATTTCCCTTACCAAAGTCTTTTTACGCAATCTATTTTTCTTTCTACGAAATGAAATATTTCTAACTACGCGATCATCGGGACATATAAGAGACTCTTCTAATAAAGTAGATGTAGAATTAAATGATTTCCGTGTTCCTCTGCAATATAAATATATTCGATGATAAATATTTTACTACACAGAAAATTAATCATTAATTAACATAGGATAAAACTTGATAAAAAAAAATAAGAAAAACGAAAACAAAGATTATTATTAAAAGACAATGTACTTACGTAGCATCCAAAGATACGGATTTGGTAGGTGGAGTTGCGACTAACTGATGGAGCGCAGTCTCAGATATAGAGAATGCTAAAATAGGATCATTTATTTGAGCCAAATTAGGATTATTTCCGATTTGAGAGATACAAGAAACGCTCCACGGTCTCGATCCTTTTGCTTTTTGTTTTGAGCGCATTACAACTTTGGGCATATTCTCATCGGGGGGTACTTCATTAACAGGCGTTTTCTGAAAATTATACAGTATCTCTTGCGAAGGAGACTGCGATATACATCCGAGAGTCCCTTCGAATCGGCGATAAGTCGCAACACTGCTCTGTAAATCGTCAGACGATATCGATTGTCTTTCTCCATCGGATTCCTCTGTTGTATATTCCCCGCTGGCATCACAACTATCTAATGGCTGTAATATATTATAATTATAAATGTATCATATATTCTATTATTTGGTGTATCCTTGCATGTAAAGTTAGCGCAATAATTTTTTTATACAAATATCAATACTTTTAATTAAATAATATCAATCTTTAATTGATATTATTAGATTCGATCTAAGAAAACATTGTTCATTGTTTTTCGTTTTTCTAAGAGTTTATCGATCTAATTTAATTTACCTGTGATCTGCCCTCATAACTTCTCGAAGCGTTCAACTTTAACCATTCCTTTACGCGCGCATACTTGGCTCGATGATTTGTTATATTTTTCTCCTCGAATACTAACTGTGAGAAACTTCTCGAGACTGTGTGTCGCTCTTCACCAATCAAGTTTTCAACTTCTTTAATTAATTTCTGAATACTTGACTTATCATTCTTTCTTTCATCATCGCTATCCTTTTGTTGAGCATCATGATTGTGCATATGTTCTGCAGACATTTCTCTCTCGTTGCCTGCATTCTTCGCCTGTGTAAAATGCATTTTTTCTGATATAGCTACTCGCGGGCTTTCATCAAAATCTAGACGAACTACAACATTCGTCTTGTGCTGCTCCGAAACGGTAAACGAATTATTTTGACAAGCAGGAGTATAAGTCCACTCCTCCTCGGAGGAATCATCCACTGTATTTGAGGATTCCTGAATTGGTTGACTACAATCCGCTTCGGAATCGGTATCCAAATGTTTAAAATAAAAAGTAGCACAGTTTTTTGATTTTCTATCAGACCTAAACATTAGAAAACAATCTATCATGAATCTATAGAATATATGTATAGCTGACTTTTAGCAGTTTTATAAAAACATCGCGAATATAATCATAGAACTTATACACTACGTTGACAAAAATGAATGTTTAAAGAACTGACAGGCAATCAATTTTGGAATGATTACAATTTTATTGTTTAAGGTTGCGAAACAAACAGCAGAAGGATAAATAATGCGACTTACATGTTGAACGAAGCAACTTCTGTTGTTCCACAACGTTTTACAAGTTCGGTCTTCGTCCGCAGATCATTATTGGATTTTTCTGTACTTTTAATTTGCACGGTACCAACTGCATCGATTTCGTCGCATGTCTCTTGTATTGCTGCCGTCGATGTTGTTATCGGTACAGTATCTGGTGTAGGCGGCATATCGTTGACACTTATTCCGTTATCCTCGACGTCACCTTCCTCTCCTCGATCTTCCACACTAGATGTAATGGAACTGGTGGCGTCTCGTTTTGCCGATTCGTCGGACCTTGCGTCCATCACACACAGCTGACATAATTCATCCTACAAAATCGTAAAAAAGAACATAATCAATATTATTGATATGTTGCTAATGCGAACTTCGCATACTATCGTGCATTGTATATTTGCACATTTGATCATTAGAAAATTCTCGCGCGTTAAGTAAGACATCGAGTAAGATATTCATAATCAACATGTTTTTTTTTAAACTGTTGATTTGCATAATTTTATTGAATAACTTACAAAAATTGACAACAATTTGAACTTTGAACGCACAATATCGAGGTATAAGGTGTATCGGAGTGAAATATATAACTCTCTTGAGCGTGCATCAAAATATCTATGATTTAAGAGGTACTGCTCTTTCACAAGATCTCGGTCGCCCGACGCGGATACCGTGGTTTTTGTCATACAGTCGACCGCTATTTTTTGTCAAGATCACCGTCTACCGTGATGCACAGCCTTCTTACTGTATATGCGTGGCCGATTCGTTTTGCAGAAGCCGTTCTTCACCAGCCTTTTACACGAGGCTTTGTCCACTTAACACATTCGGATAATGCGCTCTACTCTAGCCTACACAATGTGAAGTGGTAGTAACATGAAGCGCTCTTATCTTTCGTTAAGGCTAAAGCGACGCTTAATTTAACTCGTGCAATTGCGAGATTTCGAAAGGAAGAAGAGTAATTTGCGATTCTCTTACTCATTTGACAAGGATGCGCTCATCGAGATTGATTAAGCGCTAACGCAAGTTCCCGTCTATCATAGCAATGTATAACGGTAAGAATTAATTAGAGCAAGCTGCGCCCATCGTCGAAAGAATGTCTCAGCAGGGAGTAGAGTTAACATCTCGACGCATAAATCGAGATTCGCATAGCGTTCGAGAATCGGGTCAATGACTGTAATAGTCGTGTTTCGCGACAGCAATATGGAGAACAATAGCAGTTGCCGATTCTTGGAACAACTACTACAAGCTGTTTCCTGTCTTTAACAATTTTTTGCAAGAAATGCAAATGCGAAAGGTTTTGACACACGATATTTTGCAATGAGTACTACGAAAGCTTGGATGAGACTTGGTTGATTTAAATTCGTATCCAAACATGTCGATAATTTATATCGACATGTTTGGATACGAATTTAAATCAACGTTGCGTGATTAAGTCAATCTTATCTTTCTCAGATTATTTTACATCTAATCGGAGCACAAATATAACTGCCGTTACTTGCGTGATTCACTCGCCGCATAATCCTTATTTATATTTCTACAACGATACGGGTATCCTCGCTATGCGGTCACGACAACAGACTTTGACAATAATAGGGAGCCTTTCCAATTCGCGAATAATGGATCTCGTGCAAAGTTGGCGGGATGCTCGATTCGATCGACGTCGCGAAAGGTCGACGAATCAAAGCAAACTCTCGAGATGTTCCGTCTGTGCTCGATGAACGACGTACCTCGAAATACGATCCTTCGCCGACGGATCGGTTCTCGGAAGAGGCGTCGCTGTCGGACGGATCGGTCCTCGCTCCGGAGATTGAATGATGCTCGAGGTACTCGGATCCAGAGCCCTGTCCGGCGACGCGCTTGGCGCGTTCCGTACGCCTCGAGCGGGCTGACTGTCCCGGCGATTCCGTTCCGGAGCCGCGTGATCGTCCGCGACTGAGACGAGGCTGTTTCGTGACTGGTTCCTCGTCGCTATCGCTACTGCAAGGCGCGGCGTTCTGAAACAAACAATCCAATCTCTTTTATTCGATGATAAGTGACAATGTAATATAACAGATGCCTTGCGATTCCCTGCATAAATTTGTTATCGATCCAATATTTATAATTCACCATCGTTTTCGAAAACGTTGAATGTATGTACGTTGCTAGGTACTTATCTTGTCTTAATACACTTATCGCTCACTATCAGTGTTGCTGTGTCATACGACGTAATTGGAATTGATGAGAGAGAGAGAGAGAGAGAGAAAGAGAGCTATGGTTGCCTAACGTTTTACTTTGAAATACTTTGTTCAAATTTCTATATCCACTTTCGATGAGAGATAACGAAATAGGGCTGGAGAAAACTTCTCGATAAAATTTTATCTGACTATTACAAATTCGAAATTATTTACAAATTCAATCTCACGTTAAAATTTGTATTCCTGTGAAATCTTAAAGTAAATAATTTTTTTTACTTTAAAGTTTTGGTTAAATATAAGATAATAATTTTATTTCGACGTATAAACTATTAAATTCCATAAAATAAAGATTATTCATGCATAAAAGAATGTCTACTTCCACAGTAAAATGCATTTAGTTTTGCTTAAGACTTTCTTTCTTTTCGAGCATTGAATTAAACGAAACCGTATAGAAGCGACACTCAATATACTATTCTTAATAGTCGTCAATTGTGAGGCATCTTCGTCAATTGCACAATCACTAGTAAGTTACTGCTTGCCCACACTTTACTTCTCGTCTATTCGTTCATCCTCGTCAATCGATCTTGCCCGACATAGTTTCTCACAAGTTTGAGTTTAATTACTGCTGCCAGCACAGCAGTCGAGATTAACATCCGAGGAGTAGAACACTGACAAAATTTAATTTAAACTGATAGAACGAAGATAGTAATCTATATTTTAATTGGGTAAAAGCGCACTTTCACGTTTATTAAATATCGCTTTTTATGATATGATATTGCTACTTCGATTGCAATCTGGAATAAATTAAAATCATAATTATCATATTTTAAAATTTGTCATGTTTTTTCAAGTACGAAATAATAAAAAATTATTTTTGAAAAAAGATTTAATATTTTCATTCATATATAAGAATATCGTTTAATCACTTCAATTCTTTATGTTCATAGATGGGATACATCTTTTGTGAAAGATAGAAAATACAGATAACTTACCTTATTTCTTATACGAGATACAAGGGTTTCAATGTGATACTGCCATTCCAAGGAGAGCAGAAACAGTTGATGCCAACGGCGTTCTAACGATCTTACTATCTGCAAAGGCTGCGAAAATTGATGTTGCTGCTTTTGCTCCTCCTGTTGTTGCGTGAAAACTTTATCTCCTAATTTGACAACCGAACTGACGATACGTCCGTGCGCCTTAATGTCTCGTTGGAGTACCTGAAACAGAAATTTGACACGCGTCTGTTACTATCTTTAGATTAAGAAAGAGGAAAAATTGACAGATTGTGATCGGTGTAAATTTTTATCTCCATATCTTATCTTGTCTATTGTATAGATTCTACAGATCCAGATATAGATATATACTACTACATGTAAGTATGTGGAAAATGTAAGCTAGATAAATGTGAAACAAGTATCGCGAAATGTATCTCAGCACGGCATCGACATATTTGAATGTAGTTGTTCAACGACACTGATGACGATTAATAACGTAGGGAGTTCATGATACCCCAAGTAAGATCGAGTCGGAAGAAAGTAAGCGTAGCTTAGGAGCGTATATCGCGTAGGACGTCAATAGACACTTTGTATGTGTGTGTGATGGTGTACGCTAGAACATAAAGGTTAAACGTGCTCATAGAAAAGAAAAACGTTTAAACTTCTTTATTGCTTCCGCCAAGCCACGCTAGTTAGTAAGTAGGCTCTTCCTATTTCTCTCTTTGTTTCTCTTTTGTAACGCACATGTTCGCGTTTTCTCAAATCGAGCCTCTAAATTTCCGCGAGAAACAAAGGTGTTAGATATCACTCAACGCAGCTCGTATTAGCCCACTTTCTCTGATAAATTGCATATGATTATGTGTGATTGTTCTACTTATCTCGACGCGATTGCCGCGTCGTTCGGCGAGCAACAACGTGCGGTTCGCTTTCACGCGCCTTCTTGTACGGTTCTCGTCGACTGAAATCTTTTTCTCTCTTCTTGCATAGCCCCTTCATTGTCAATCGCTCATTCGAACGAAAGGATTAATCCTCGCTACGCCAGCGAGGAACCAGTCGTTACGAAAGCGTAAATATTTCTCCGACAGAAACGTGGGTATCGAGCTAGTTAGAGAACTTGTGAATAACTTTATTACTATTAATCCAGCGTTCCTCGCTGATCAGTCTCCGTCAGATAATGAATAGACTGGGATTTGGAATTACGATGGTTATAAATGGTGAAATGCTACATATTTTCCTATAGTAGCTTATGCACACAGTTATATAATACTCTTGATGACATAAAACGTATATTTTCATTAAAAAATATATTTCGAAAAAAAGGACACATATCTCAACAGAGATTGATATGTTTATAACTTTCGATCTGTATTCCGAGTACCAGTTTCACACATAAACACGGGGTGCACTATATAATATATAGTTGCACGCACAGAATCTGATAACGAACAAGTAGGATGCCCGTGATAAAATGTATGCTAAGGAAAACGTAAAGGAATAAAATAAAATATCTATCATGCGTTGCGCAGTAATCTCAACGCGCTTTCATGAGAAAGTTCAGCGACAGAAATTAAAGAATCGTGAGGAGCGAATTGCCATGTATACGTTCAAGAGAAACACGATCACTGGGTAAGGTATGTAATTTACGATTTGAATTCATGATGTCAAATCGCCACGTGGAACGCGAAACGCGAGACGAATTGCCGGAGAGATGCTGCGTCGGTGGCAATCCGCGCATGCCGTCGACGTGTTATTGACATTCATTGATAGTCTCAACGTGCTTTCACACCGCGGAAATCATGCATCCGATTTGTTATCGATTTCAGAACTGCCTTTCTCTCTCTATTTATCTATCGTTTTATTAATTAGAGTTAGATAAATATTCATAAATACATATTTATATTCTATAATTTTAGATTTAAAAAAATAATAAATGTTTAAGAAAATAAAAAAATTTCACGAGTGATGATTGACTGAGAAAATCGATTAGTAAAACTGGAACCTATAGATAGAGAAAGAAAAAAATTGATGCATGAAGAGAGAGAACTACTTTCGTGATTACATATGAAAACAATTCGGAGAAGCTATTCTTTGCCGAGGTGAAAAGTATTATGAAAGCTCGGCCAGTATTTCCAGCTCTTCGCTTTCCACCTCTTCAACTGGTTTCTATCGCGCTTGTCAGAATGTCGTTGGCACATCCCAAGTTGAAGGCCTCGACGGTGACGTTAGGGCAATAACCTCTCGATATGTTGCAATAACAGCAGATACAGACTGCAAAAAATCGAGTGGCATGGAAAGATCGATGCGTAGGTCAATCGAAACGCTTTTCCTTTCGCGAGTTTTCATGGTAGTAGACTATCGGTACATGTCGTATGGCGGTGTCTTCATGCGTGACAATGACATCGTGGAAAATATTACGTGATACAGCACAGGAAGTGAGTCGCGCGGGAATGTAATGTATGACGATAACGTAATGTCATACGAGATGCGGGTCCCCGAAGACACGCAAGGCGTGTCTCACAGAGACGCCTATAATTCTATCATGTGGCAATGATAATGTGTCCTTATGTCGATCGATCGACAACCGCGACGATGACGACGACGATGACAACGAGTGAAATGGCACGTCGAATCACGCGAGAACTTGCGGCGATAGTAAAAGTAGATATATTTAGAACGCGATGTTGTATGTCGCATTGAATAATTCATTCAATAGACTTGATTATCTCATGTTACGAAATTAACAGTTATTATGGAGTGACATGTGAAATCTCTGATTAAATGGAAAATAAGATTCCACCAAGAGATTCGACAAATTAAACTTCTATACGCATAATGAAACGGGAAGATTAACTTTCGCGCTGAGGTAGCGATTTGACAAGCCGCAAGAGCGCAAAGTAGACTCTACGTTTTAATCCGCTGCTGATATCTCTTGAATTGAAGAAGTAAGAGTTTCCATTAAATTATATTGAGAGTGGCATAGCAGATATGTTTCATTATCTAATACACGCGCTATACATTGCCAGAGGAGCCCAGTGTTTATCAAAATATTGCCAGCTCATAACGTTAGAATCTTATATAAGTGCATATTTCGCTTTTTAGAGCATGACCATCGGTAAACCGTTCGCATTTTGAACGTATCGGTTTAGATCGTTGGAAAATGCGTAACAACGTGGTATCATCATGACTGGTAAAGAAAAATCAGAATAGAGATTAATCAGAGAAGAACGATAACTTGCTGGGTGCGGCTGTACCTCCGAGCGATTTCAAGACCAACATCGGTTGTTGGATCGCTCAAATTGTTTCGAAGAATGTATCATCTCACGGAAGGTTTCCTACAAGGTGTCTCGAATAAATGAGGACATTTAAACACGCGCGTTGTTTGTCGATTGACATTGAAAATGTATGACTGTTAACATATTATGTATATATTGAAATATATTTCGCGATAGTTAAAAGCTAGACTCGTGCTTTTTGACAAAAAAAGCGCAGTAATAAAAAAATTATTATATATGTATAAATATTTTGAGGATTTCCTTAGAAGATATTATTGTCTGACATTTTATATTTTTTATATGGAAATTGAAAGAGGGATTCGATTAAAAAGGTTCTTTTGTCGAGAACACCCTATGCATATTCCAACGACATCGCAGAAGAGCACTATTATTACTATGCCGCTTCTTTCAATCCAGGTTGAATGTTCTATCGAGAAATCTCTTTTGGCATACAATCTAATCATGATTTATCGACACGCTCCGTAGGATGAGTAAGACTGTCTACTTGCCACTAACACGGAGAAAGTTAATTTATCATTACTGTGTCATTATGTTTCGCCATGTATATAAAATTTTGATGTAACTCTGCATAATTTTTTCCTTCCTTCTTTCATTTTTCTTGCTAATGTCCTTGAGTAAATATTTTCTAGTAGACTATCATTCAATCACAGTTGCTTTACACGCGCGATATGCCTTCATAGACACGAGCAAACCGCAACATTGATTAAAACAGTTAATATCCTGTAAAAAAAGGACTCTTTGTACAATCTCTTTCAATTTATGGGATAAGATCGAATTTCTTTGTGTGGAGAAGAGAAAGTATATATCCCCCACCCCGATGCTAATTTCTTCATCTTTGATATAGAGAGTCTTGCGTTTATTTTTAAAAAATGATGTCAGGATACGCCGCACTATGTTATTTGAGGTCGCACTGGTAAATGTGGAAGGTTAAATCGCAGGCAAAACGCGTGGTAATCGGTTGCGACGCTAAAACCACCAGCACTTAGTGCATTCACTAAGCAATTTTTACTTCCGCGAAGACCAGCGAGACATGCTAACGCTATCTCACAGAATTCAAGATACCAAGGGTAATTGCGTACAGTCGTTACAACAGTAGTTTCGCGAATCCTAGCGGTAAATCTTCCATACATGGCATATTTTATACTACAAAGATGTGTGTATTAATCATGTGAAATTATTGTCACGAATTTACAATCATATCGTTTGAGTAACGAGAGATATATTTATCACAATGCTTAGAACATCTCGATAAAATCTTGTATTCTTCTCACGTAATCATCTTTTTATTTAATTTACACATATATATATATATATATATATATATATATATATCTATATCTTGTATTTTATCATAAATATAAATTACTTATCAATTTATTGTTACTTATTAATTTCATTACTTTTCTATTTTTAATTTTACAAAAATTCTTATAGAGAAAAAACTCAAAAATAAACTAAAAACTAAATGATCACACATCATATAATTGCATTGTGTAACAAAAACTAAGCAATTTAATTGCCTTAAAATTTTCATTATCCTTAAAAAAGATTTGTGTGTCCCGAAATACAACAGTTTCTCTCTTCCACTTAAGGGAAGTATTTTTGAAAATAAATGAATTATAAATAAATTATTATTATTACGATGTATTTGGAATAAATCAATTTACAATTATAATTTAAATTTATGATACATGGAGATATATTTATAAAATCTAATTTAAGCCATGCAAATATTGAAACGTTTTTCTTGTACATGTCTTAACGATAAGAAATGTCGTTTGGTAGCTTGAAGGAGTCCTTGCAAGTCCCATCGGACTCGGAAATGGTGGTCGTATCAATGTTCCCAGTTAACAAGTGACGCCATGTGAGTGAGTCAGCGCATGCATACACGAGAAGACAAAATGACTCTATGATATAACAGCTATAGTG